AGAACATGCTGTCCCTGTCTTTGGTGGTGTGGCGGGGAATTGGCCAACCTTCAATCATGAAACCCCTAAACCCCTAAACCCTAAACCCTAAACCCCTAAACCCTAAACCCGAAACCCTTAAACCCTAAACCCTACTGCACGTCTAAAACAAGACCCTAACCCCTAAACCCTAAACCCTGGCCAACCTTCAATCATAAACTCCAAGCCCCAAGCCCGAAGCTCTAAGCCCTAAGCTCAAAACTCGTTTCTCGTGCGATGCAAAACTTGACCGAGGCTCATAAATAGATACAGACGTCTGTGCATGTGTGTGTGTATATATATATATATGCGCGCACACACACCATTGGTCATATGTGTATATGTATAATATTGCAGAAATGCCCATCTACGGATATGGCCAAAGGTCGAAGAGGGAGTTGAAACCCAAACCCCGAGGCGCTACGGCGACAACAAGGAAGCTCCCTTCTAACCACAAACCCTGTCCGCAGCCTCGCCAGAAGACAACCGCCCACCCTAGATCCCATACCCTAGTAGGTCAGGGCCCTGAACCATAGATCCACTTCTCAACTCAACACACACACACACAACCCTAAACCCTAAACCCCAAACCCTAAATCCTAAACCCTAAACCCCACACTAACAACGCAACGGATCTCATTTTGGTGCCGTCGAAGCCTGCTAGGATCTCCTCTGACGACGGCTCGCAGGCCTTGGGCTCAGGGGAAAACCCAAAGACTGAGCCTTAACCCCTAAAAGGGGTGTGGGGCTGTCGTATCGCTATCGTTCGCATTACTGTTGCCTTCATCGTCACTACAGTAGTGAAGACGGTCAATCTCATCATTATCTTGGCCAAGACGACTTCGGGTTCTTCCAGCCAGGCAATGCCTGTCTTGCCGGCACATCCAAAAGGGTTGTGTGCTGGGGCTTGGTTTTTGTAGAGCCAAGAGCACACTGCGGCGATTGAATCCCAGCTTGATGGATGCTTCCGGAGCAAGTACACACAAACGTACATATGAGTCTTCTTTAGTACAAAACCCACCCAACCCCCTCCCCACGTCCAAGGAGCAAGCACCCACGAGGAGAAGCAGTGAATCTGGCTTCGGCAATCGCGATCGGTGCATTTGCCTCTGCTACACTGATAAACCCAAAACGCTAAGCCTTAATCCTAAGCCCTAAACCCTGAAAGATACCTTCACCGAACATCAGGAACCGGGTCTCGAACGTTTTTCCATTTGCCCGAGATCCCCACCTGGGGGCCGAATTGCAAGGCACTGTGCAGTTTACCTGCCGGCCACTCACAACGCCCGTCAATGACACGACGTGGCCATTGTAGGGACCCCCCAGAAGCTGAAACCAGAGGAAACCCCTGCTCAATTTTGTCATTCTTTAACCTGAATTAAGCAATAATACACTCTAAGCTCAATTTTGTCAAGCTATAATCTGAATTAAGCAATACACTCTAAGCTCAACTTTGTCAAGCTATAATCTGAATTAAGCAATGCACTCTCAGCCCCAACACCTGAACATAGCATTTCAGCATCTCTGAGGTGTCATATCCCCGGCTAAACCAGCCCTGGGCTGCCCTAATCCCTCGATGCCTAGATTCGAAACTGTTTTGGGAGACCTAAATACTGTTCAATCCCATTTTGCAGGACCTACACCCTAAATCCTGTTTTGGGGAGGCCCATAAGCCCTAAGCTTAAAGCCTTAAGTGCTCTTCGGGGCCCCTACACAGATAACGCAAGGGAAGGGGCCCAGAGCTCTCTCTGTGGCTTAGAGCGGTCCATCCCGGCAAAAGCGAAGGAAAAAAACTCCGGGATGAGCCGGATAAGGGTGCCGACCCCTGTGAGCCCTTGGGGTTCGGATTACGGTTTAGGTTTCCCAAAAACCTACCGTTTTAAGGGGTTCTACCTTCTAATTAAGGGGGCATAGCCTACTATTTTGTAGGGTTTGGGGTCACAGGTCTAAGTTTTGAGCCCAAACTAAACCCTAAAGGAGTTTGAGGGTGTATGTTTGCGGGTAAGGGCCGACGCTGACCCTTGGAGAAACCCAGAGACGCCCTAACCCTAAAGCCGAGGCCCTAGACTCTAAGCCCTGGAGCCTTCACATAAATGAGGAAAGAAATATGCAAAGTTAACCAAAAAAATCACACACACACACTCTCTCTCTATATATATATAGATATGTATATATATATATATATGTAACTGTAAATGTAAATGTATATGTATACGTATATGTATACATATACATATACATACACATACACATGCACATACACATATACACACACATACACATACGCATACGCACACACATACGCATACGCATACGCATACGCATACACATACACACTGGTACATACATGCATGCATGCATGCACGCATGCATACATACACACACATACATACATACGTACGTACCTACTTACATACATACATACATACATACATACATACATATAAAATGTATGTATATATGGACATCTATATACACACATACATACACCGAAAGATCATTTCTGCTCAAGATGAGGAACCCCGGTTTGAGTGACAGTGCACGGCTTTTGCTTGACGATTCAGGGGTTTAAGCTTTAGGGCGTAGGGCTTGCGGGTTTAGTTTAGGGTTTAGGGCTTGCAGGTTTAGGGTTTAGGAATTGCAGGCTCAGTGTTTAGTGTTTAGGGTTTAGGGCTCAGGGTGGGTTTGGGGCTGCGCGCATGGGTCCGGTTTTGGAGAAGTCTGTCCCTGGAGCCCGCAACTTCCGCTGGTAGGTTGCAAATTGACGGAGTCCCCGATGTTCAAGACTTCAAAGCTTGAATCCATAAAACCTTCATACAGCCTGAAATCCCTGAAGCCGTACACCCTAGCGGCCCTGAGCGGAACCCTTAGAAGGAACGAGTTTAGAAACCCTACTCCCCAGAAACACTGAATGCAAAGGCCCTTATAGAAGGGGAACCCCGTAAATGATCCAGAAGCTCGAACCCCCAACCCCCCCCCCCTCCCAAAAAAAAAGAGGGTATATCCTAGTGTAGTCCTTTGACTTACGAAAGGGCCGTTTTTGAAGATATTCTCTTCAGGGTCTGGGCGCAGCCCATTCTTGCCCCTAAACTCTAAACCCAAACCCTAAGGCCCGAAAGCGGATCCTCCGAACCCTAACCCCTAAGCCCCCCAGAACCCTAAACCACGAGCCCTAAAACCCTAAGCCCCAAACCCTAAGCCCTAAACCCCAAACCCCTAGACCCCAACCCCTAAACCCTAAACCCTAAACCCCAAACCCTAAACCACGAGCCCTAAAAACTTGTCCCATGGCTGCCGTCTGCCGCCACTCGACGGTGCCTGGGGCGACTTCTTGAGCTTTCTAGGTCCGAGGTGTTGTTCGGGGTTTGGGGTTGAGGGCTTAGGGTTTAGGGTTTAGGGTTGGAGCTTTAGGATTTAGTGGTTTGGGGTTTAGGGGTTTGGGGTTTAGGGGTTTGTTCAATCGGATGTAGCTGCGCGTCAAAGGCTTTGAAAATGGGTCAGGTACACCTGAAGGACACCCAAAACCGGAAAGCCTGGAGCCCGAATTTTAAGCTTTTCGGCCTCTCCTATCGGGGCTCTAATAGTACGACATCTATCAAACTCTACGGTTGGTTTAGGGTTCAAGGTTTCGGGCTTTGGGGTTAGGGGCCTAGCTTGGGGGTCTCTGCTTCGGGATCTAGGGAATCTAGGGTTCATAGCTTCTGCCCAGAGACTCCAAAACCCCTTAATTAAGGAATATACCTTATAAATTATATTGGGAGCCCTAATAAGATTTAAGGTATATTCCTTAATTAAGGGGTTTTGGAGTCTCTGGGTGCTGGAAGGTTTGGGGTTTTCGGGGCCCACAGGTTTCGGGTCCCCAAAATTCGCTCCCTGAGGTCCAGAAACTCCACCCTGAAGGGTTTGGGACACCGTAAACCCTGCCCATGTCGGCCTTCCGACCGGGTTTCCGGGATTGCTGTAATCGTCATCAGGGACCCTTTGAGGGTTTAGGGTTTAAGAGTTAAAGGTTTAGAAGCTGAGGGTTTAAGGACCATTGCAACAAAGGTTGAACTTTGCTGACATCAGTAGCCGCTACTAGTAGCCTTTGCACGCTGCTCCAGTTGCGAATAGCTGTTGTCATCACTACCACAATTCAGCCGTTTCAAAAGTCTTGAGCTTTTGCAGGTCTCCAAGGTCAATTTTTTGAACAAAGAGCCGTTAGCATCAACAACCCTAAACCCAAAACCGCCCTATAGTCTGCTCTTGTCGAGCCGAGCATTCCCACCTTCGATATCGACATGTTGACTTGAACACGACCCCCTACATTCCCAGCAGTTGCCCCCTGAAACCATGAAGGAGCAGCATGTGTCGCCCTTCCATTTTAAAGCCAAATCCCCAGTGTGTACACCTTGCAGCTGTTGGCTACGCTCGAGAGCGTTTTGTCGCAAAGCCGGCATTGAGGTTGCAACGTGTTCCACCGGCGGCTTATGTCGAACATGGTCGAACTCGTTAGGGTCCACCATCACAAGTCATTGGCTTTGGCTAGAGGTGTCTATAGCTCTGGTTGCAAGTAGTTAGAGACTGCGGCCCTTGCTCTAGTCTCTTCCAGCCCAACTCATTGACTAAACCGTAGCCTAAACCTTCAACCAACGCTTATAACTACACCCTGTAACTCTAAGCCCCTTAGCTCGAAATGCCGCATCAGGCTGTAATCAACAAGCGTAACCTCCAAGCTTAGATCCTAAACCCTAACCTTTCCTTGACAAAACAAAAAGTGCAGCACTGCCTTGAACACAACATAAAGACACACAGAACATGAACGAAACAACACCACAAGAACCAAGAGCCAAAACCAAGCCCCCGGGCCACTGACACTGAGCATGCCTATAAAGCCCCCCAATAAAACGCCGGTAAGACCCTGAACAGGGCCTGTAAAGCCCTAAACCCTAAGCCCTGCCGAAACCCTAAGTCCTAAACCCCTGAATGCGCTTTGGCCAGCCATGGCCGGGACTCTGGTGTGCCAGGGGTCGGAGCCTTTCGCACCGCTGCGAAACGAAGATTCCGACGACGAGTCGAAGAGGAAGGTTCTGAAGGCATCTTTAATCTAGCACAGGGTTTAGGGTTTAGGGTTTAGGGTTTAGGGTTTGGGGTTTAGGGTTTAGGGTTTAGGGGTCGTTGGTATGGTTTAGGGAGCATAAGGGTCGTAAGAATTAGGAGAGGGTTTGGGGTGTATATTACACCCGGGTTGTGAAGGGGTTAGAGTTCTAGTCGGGAGCCCGAAGGAAAAATGTTGGTAATTATTCAGGCTTCTATAGAAAGTGAACTATAAGGCCAGAGTATTCCTAAATCTTTGAGCTTCTGCATCAGTGGCTTTATAGGGCTTTCAAGGTTTGTATACGGGCGGTTTTAGGGTTGCCCCGAAGCGAAGGCAAGCGTGGATGTGGTCCCCCTCCCCATTCCGGACATCCACGACAAGTGGCAAAAGGTTGCATCAGATGCGTTCATGGCGATGTGGTGTACCATTCCGGGCGCTTCGGTCCTTGCGACTGGCTACATGGTCAGGCACTACTTGCCCCTCCGCGAAACCCTAAACCCTAAACCCTCAACCCTCAACCCTAAACCCTAAACCCTCAACCCTCAACCCTCAACCCTAAACCCTAAACCGTCTATATCTCGGTTTTGCAGAAAGAGAGTGTATCGGGCCTCTTTGTAGTAGCCCCCCCAAGGAAGGGAGATCCTCACCTCAGCCTCTGAGGAACCTCGTGGCCTAAACCCTAAACACTAAGCCTTCTAAACAATCTGTCAGTTTAGGGTGTTTTAGGGGTTTAGGGGTTTAGGGGTTTTTAGGGGTTTAGGGTTTAGAGTTTGGGGTAGAATCTTACCTATCAGTGAGCATGCTTATGATGATAAAGCGTATCCGACGAAGTAATTAAGCTCCTTAGGAAAGCCTAGAAGGCCCTTCTTTAGCACAAGCCCAGGATACGCCGGTGGCGCCTGATCTTCCCGAAGGAGCAAACCTTGGGAAAGAGGCCGCGGGGTTCAGTGCGTGGGTTTAAGGATGAGGGTCTACTGATAGGTGTTTTTTTGGTGTGGGTTTTAGGAATGTCGAGGTCGAACCCGGCTGTGTTAGGCATTAGATTCCTAAATTCTGGTGCATTTTGTTTCTGGCTTCTCAGATGCTGTGGCAGTCGCATGCCTGACTTATGGTATGGCTACTGTTGATGATATAAACCCTGCATTACCCATAATAAGGAACATACCATGATTCCCATAGCTTAGGGTCCTTAAGGTAATGCAGGATTTAAAGCATCAATCGTATGGTAGTATGAGTTAGTGCAAGGGTTCCGGGGCCAAGAGTTGAGGTGTCCAGGATGCCTGAAGATTGTTTTTCGACGCGAGGCTAGGTGCATACATCCTACTTAGGCTTAGTAACAGAGACCCTAAACCCCAAACCCTAAACCCTAAACCCAAAATCCAAAACCCAAGACGCTAAACCCGGAACCCTAAGTAAGATAACCTCAAAATGGATTCTCTTTTGGGGCTCCTGGGTTTCCCCTAGAACTCCAGGAGCAACCCCAAACAGGGGGCTTTCGGGTAATTTTCAGCTCTCCTGATTACCTGCTTCCTAGGCCGTTTATGCCTGAAACCTTCAATCCCTGAGCTCTCCAAAGCCTAGCCCCTGTTCCCTAAACCCTCAACCCTAAATAACCCTGTTCCCTAAACCCTCAACGAGCCCCTAAAGATTTTAAAACAGCCCAAACCGAACACCTTAAACGCCTGAAAACCTGGCACTTGAGAGTCCCTAAACCCTAGGCCTCCCTTGGAGCAACCTAACTCGAACACCCTCAACCCTAAACCCTAACCCCCAGCCCCTATTCCCTAAACCCTACACCCTAAACCCTAAACTCGAACATTTAGCGTGGTTGTTTACACCAGCAGCAGCACGGTATACGAAGTGCCGCTGCTGAAGTAGCTATCTTGCATATCCCTAAACCCCAGCCCCTATTCCCAAATTCCCAAACCTTTCGAAGCCCTAAACCCTCGGAGCCCTGGGCCGTGGTAGCCTCAGAAGCTCGGGAGGGTTTCGGGTGGTTTCAGGGTTTAGGGTCTAGGATTTCGGGTTTAGGGTCTAGGGCAGCGTTTAGGAGTTTAAGGTTTCGGGTTTAGGGTTCAGGGTTTAGGTTTCGGGGTTTAGGGTTTAGGAGTTTAGGGGTTCAAGGTTTAGGGCTAGGGTTTAGAGCCTTTAGGGTTTTAGGGCTCATAGGACCAAGTTCGTAGCAGTGGCGACTGTTGGCTCATTATTGTGACGTGAACTTTCAATTCTTGAATACCCTCACTAGCCTACCAGAACCTACTTTGTACATAGGATCCCTTTTAAAGCATTCCTTGTTGGTGTTTACAATAAGAATCTGAACAAAGTAGGTTCTGATAAGTTAGCGGTGAACCCATATGAATTACGAATTGCCGCACGTAGCTTCTGGACCAGGCAAGCAAATCTCCATCTTTGGTTCTCTCACTTTTTACTCTGGTTTCCTGCAATCTTCAGTCAACGGGTGGGTGCAAGGCATGATCGAGCTATCTGGCATCCCCCGGTGGCACAAGGGCGATCGCCTGTACACGGTAGCAGGTTGTCTGAAAGGATCGGCCGCCTGCTTCGTACCGGTATGCCCATGAAGCTTCCGGTCGACAGAGCGGGACTTTAGGGGTCTGGGGGTTGAGGGTTTAGGGTTTAGGGGTTTAGGGGTTTAGGGGTTTAGGGGTTTAGGGTTTAGTATTTGTGGCTCCTTGGCCCGACGCTATGATGCCAGGCCAAGAATGAGATGCCTGCCATGGTCAGGGTTTGCGGAACCTGGCAGTCTAACCAGATAGGAGCCACGAACCCGAATGCAGACACGCGCAACGCAGATATCGTCAACAAAAATAAGTAGAAGGAAAGGCATATTCATACGACCGAACGAATAATGTTGTGAGTGTATTACATCGGATGGGCGGAGCTGTGCTGGGCTGGGCTGGCTGGGTGGGG